GATTTGTGAGAGACAATTTATAGGCCCTATAAACCCAAGCATTGCCAAATTTCAGACTGTCATGTCCCCAGAACTGCAAGAAAATACATTTTTGCTGTTTTAAACCACCCAGTGTTTATTGTTATGGCAGCCCACAGCAACTAATGCAATGGCATTTATACAAAAACTAATAAACTAATACAAATATTAAGCAACCTCTTGTCACCTGTAGAACCATTCTAGTAAAACAAAGCGCATCACAAGTTGACTTATTCCAGAAATGGTTCAGTGTCAGAAAATCAATTATTTTAGGATATCAAGGATATTACAGAGAAGGAAATGGCAACCCCACTCCAGTATTCTTGCCTGGAGAATCCCAGGGACAGAGGAGCCTGGTGGGCTGCCATCTATGGGGTCGCACAGAATCGGATAAAACTGAAGCGACTTAGCAGCAGCAGCAGCAAGGATATAAATAAATATCAAAGATATGCCAATACATATCCTTGTTATAGTTGCTGGTAATTATATATTGATAGTATATTTCATTTGGAGAAGATAATGGCACCCCACTCCAGTTCTCTTGCCTGGAAAATCCCTTGGACAGAGGAGCCTGGTGGGCTGCAGTCCATGGGGTTGCTGAGTCGGACACGTCTGAGCGACTTCACTTTCACTTTTCACTTTCATGCTTTGGAGGAGGAAATGGCAACCCACTCCAGTGTTCTTGCCTGGAGAATCCCAGGGACGGGGGAGCCTGGTGGGCTGNATCCAGACTTACAGTTTTGAAAAGAAAAAAAGAAAGAAAAAAGAAACTTGGCATGGGTCTGATATTTTGTCAAATGGGATAAACTGTATGCAAATTATGGACACATCAAATATCTTGGTGAGGCAAAATCTAGGAGTAAATAATGGTGAACACTATCAAAAACTGGAGGCTCATCTTTCCAAGAGTTGCCAAGTGGCTCAAAAGGGTTGATTGTTTTAATCTTCTGTCCAATTCAAATGTCAGAATCCTGCCCCCCAAAACTGCAGGCATGGGCAGTTGAAATTTTAGCATAGTATAGTTGGAAAAAGCCATTTATTATGCTCATAAACAATCTCTGGTTCTATATTTGCCCTAATCAATTTCCTACTATGCCTCACACATATGAATTTGTTCTGTATCCATTTTTTTAAATTGGTTGCTGTTTTAATATAGGAAAAGTGTGTGTTTTGTATACTCTCAGCTAAACATGCATTTTTTTTTTTGCTTCTTTGGTATTTTTATAAACTGAGTATGTTTTTAATTTTTTTTCCTTCATCTTTTAATCAAAACTAGGTATTAGATGAATAGATTTTACTGTTCTTGGTCTATTGTTTTTGATAGACTACTTTCACATAATAAAAATCAAAATCTTGTAACTATGAAAAATGAAACCCCTAGACAGAGTTCTAACTAATTTCCTGGGAACAAAAGATTACTAGGAAATTACTGAGTGATCTGTTTACAGTGTGTGAATAACACGTACTTGGACGGCATTGCCAGAATTTACAGTAAATGGAAAAAAATTATAATCCTAGTTATTTCTCTATGTACTATTGTATATTCTTTGTTTCAATACAAAACCAGCAATTAACATACTTTATCTTGTATACATAATCCTGCAAAAAACAAAATCCTCAAAAAGTGTCATTTATTTCCATTTTCTCTAATTTGCAATTTAGCACTGCGGTGTTTTCTTTGTAAATAAGGTTACTAAAACTATCTCCATGTGTGTTATTAATTCATCTGCTTCTGAAATTTTGTCCTGATCCAAAATATTCTCTCTTTCCTTAGTGACTTGAGATGGGTCCTATCCATCCATCTGCCAGATCTGACAAACAAGTCCTTTAAAATGATTATCTCTTTCTTGGGGTACTTAAATATATGTGAGATAATCATAAACATGAAACCATGTGTTCCCATGAACAACTTGTACCTTAGTAGAAAGTAGGCCAGTGTTAAGATAAATGACATCTAACTTGCCAGGGGATCTGCTAAAAATGGAAAGAGATATGCCTGTTGTATTGGATGCACATCTTGATAATAATATCTGATGGGATAGAGGTGGCTAAAATTATCTCCACAAGTTACATTGAAAGTCTTTCTGACTCTCAGTGAACCTTAGTCATTATAAAGTCTACCAGATGCAGTGGGTTAAGTCTAAAGAATTACATTGATTTTCAACAAGTAGTAAACTTGTCAAAGGTGTTGCTTTCCATGAGCCAAATATCTGGATTCTGACAGTCTCTGCTTCTCTGTGCCAAGGGGACCATATTCATGCACCTAATTCTTGACAGGAAGAGATTGTGTACCATTTTGAGGAGAGGTCATTTAAATTTGGATGAAACTTATTGAATTACTCCAAAACAGATTCTTACTTACTAATGTTGAGGAGAAAGGAGTCAAGGAAAGAAAAGTGCAGTGAATCTGTGAGTCTAACTAAAAGTCACGCAAGTCCCCAAACAAGATGGATGTTAGATATACTGGCAATTAATCTCTAGCTTCAATTCTCTGAGAAGGAAATGACTCCCACTCGGTGGGTCATAAACTGCAGATCAATTAGCCTTTCTTTAAAATTGTTTTTCTGTGACTCAGTCGTGTGTTATTCTTTGCAACCCCATGGACTGCAGCATGCCAGGCTTCCCTGTCCTTCACTATCTCCTGGAGTATGCTCAAACTCATGTCCATTGAGTCAATGATGCCACCCAACCATCTTGTCCTCTGTCATCCCCTTCTCCTGCCTTCAATCTTTCCCAGCATCAGGGTCTTTTCCAATGAGCCAACACTTTGCACCAAGTGGCCAATGTTTTGGAGCTTCAGCATCAGTCCTTCCAGTGATACTCTGGTTTCTCTTCTTTAAAATATATAAATCTGAAATGCATAATATTTTGTCACATGTAAATATGTATGAATTGTATATATGGTTCATATTTAATAATTTGAGTTTTTAATATTTTTAATATTTTATTTTGTCTTATAAACACTTTGTTTTCTTATCTATCTCTCTGAGAAGTATTATTGGTTCTTGGTTGTTATTAGGACCAACTTTTGTTTGGACCAACTTTTGTTTGGAAGTTCAGTTAGTTCAGTTCAGTCACTCAGTAATGTTCAAGTCTTTGCGACCCCGTNGTTTGCTTTTCCTTCTAAACAATCTCCAACCCTGGGAAGGCCAATTTTTCAAGGCAACTCAGAAGAGATAAGAGAAATAATCATCAGTAGGACTGCCTTTCTGTTTATAAAATCCCATTAAATATACTCTGTAGCTTCTCCTTGGGCCTTAGGGAAAATGAAAATATCTGATGTCCTCCCTAGGGAATGATCATTCTCTGATGCTGCCAGGAAAGAAGACTGAAAGATTGAAGCAGACTACTGCAAAATCAGTTGCAGAAATAGGGATGGAAAAATATCTATAGTTTTTTTCTTTTCTTTTTCTCATAGATGTTAATCTATAGGTATTGCTGCAGGTTCAAAATATAAGGTTGATCTCTGCATTGCCTGCACTAACATCACCATGGAGACTTTCAGCAAGATTAATCCTATAGCTAAGCACATTTGGGATCACAGAACCTGTTATGTTCCTCATGTTTAACATTTTCAAATGTTTCAGTCATTACCCATAAAGGTACTTCCTCTTGGAAATACTACCTACTGACTCATACGCTCTTGTTTCTTAAGTCTGCATCCTAATTATTTTCATAATGCCTGATGTTGATGTTTAGTTGCTAAGTCATGCCCTCCTCTTTGCAACCTCATGGACTGTAACCCACAAGGCTCCTGTGTCCATGTGCTTTTCCAGACAAGTACTGGAGTGGGCTGCTGTTCATAATGCCTATAATGTCACATATCACTAAGTGTCCAGGGCTATGAATGTGTCTACTATTTTGTATCCTATAACAGACTATGTATTCTCTTGGACAAAAACACCAAGATTGATCTACTTCTTCCTTATTGTATGTGAAGTCAAATTCATGGCTCCTGATAAATATATTAATAGAAGATACATAAATATTATCTGGATGGTTTTTTTTAAATAAGAAAAAATAACTAGAAATATACAGAGAAACTATTAATGTCAATTCAAAGCTAAAAAGATAAATGGTATAAACAAGCAGAATACTACAATTGAAAAAACAAAGTTGATCAAAATATCATAATAAAGGAAATGAAAACCAAAATAAATATATGAAATGGTATTACAAGCAAAAAAAGTAAATGATTACAATTAAAACCATAAAAATGAACTTTAGAAGTCTGTATAAAACCTTTTGCTAAATTTCAAGAGAATGTTAATTGAAAGCTTAAACACTTGTCAGATATTAAAATATCAAGTTTAAGACCAGCAAGGTAAAAATAAGATGATGATAGATAAAAATCAATGGTACAAGATAGATTAAGTACAAAACAAACCCAAAAAACTATACTTTTTCAATTTAGCAGATTGGTAGCAAACATTTCCCCATTGGTTCAGAGGCAAAGAATACACCTTCAATGCAAAAGATGCAAGTTCCCTCCCTGGGTTGGGGAGATCCCCTGGAGGTGGAAATGGCAACACACTCTAGTATTCTTACTGGTACAATCCCATGGACAGAGGAGCCTGGTGGGTTCCAGTCCATGGGGTCACAAAGAGTTGGACACAACTGAGAGACTGAACATGCACACATCAAATATTTTAAAAATTAGTGATTTAAGTCAAAGAGGAGATAGAAAAAAGTTGCTTGAAGAGATTCCCCAGAAAGTGATATTAGCTTGTCTGGGGGAAATACTCTTTTGTCCCTAACTGTCATCATATTTATGGCTGTGAAAAATCACTATTGTTTCAGACTTGAGTTTCCATGATTTCTGCTTTAGATATTACTGCTAAGACAAACTTCATAGTTTGTTTATGAGTGAACAGATAGACCTAAACATATCCATGTTTGTTTGTTTCAAAAATGGAAAAGGAAATGTTTGTTTGAAAAGTGATGGGAGTCATAATATTGGAAATCTTATTTTTTCCCCACAGCCACTGAACTATGAGAAAAAGAAGTCATATACCCTCAACATAGAAGGAGCCAATACACACCTTGATTTTCGCTTTTCTCACTTGGGTCCTTTTAAAGATGCTACCATGCTGAAGATCATTGTCGGGGATGTAGATGAACCACCACTATTTTCCATGCCTTCCTATGTCATGGAAGTCTATGAAAATGCCAAGATTGGGACAGTTGTTGGCACAGTTTTGGCCCAAGATCCTGACAGTGCTAATAGCTTAGTAAGGTATGGTATACTTTCTCCTTTTAGACATATAAAGATTTTAGTATCTCTGATAATAATTTTAAATGGATAAATAATATTTAAAATGTTTATTTTCCATTAATGCAATTCAATGATAGTATCAACTGTTTCATTAACTGAGTAAATAACAGATGGGTTTCTGTCAAATTTAGAATACATACAGCTATCTTTATGAATATATTGGTGACCACACAGATGATTTTTTTTTGTTTGATAATAGATGAGGGCATTATTGACTGGAAAAATTTATAGAGGAATACATAAGTACAGAATATAAACTCTTTGGTACCTCAGTAATAGGAAATATAAATACAGTGAAAAAAAGTGAGCGTTTGGGAATAGCATTCATCTCTGAGTCCTTATTCTGTCATAATGTGGTGAACCTTTAGGAAATTATCTACCCTTATTTCTAAAAGATGAACACTAATATCTATCTCTCAGAGTTATGATTATTTATCAAGCAATGTGCTTTAAGTTCCAAGACAAGTTGCCTGCATCTAATAGCCACTCAATAAATGCTAACTTGTCCAAGGCAGGTTCAGTTCAGTTCAGTCACTCAGTCATATCTGACTCTTTGCGGTCCCATGAACTGCAGCACACCAGGCTTCCCTAACCATCACCAACTCCTGGAACTTAAGTCAGGTTAGAGACTCACCTCTAAAGACATGAAGACCAATGTGAAAATTCTGGTGACCTGATTTACTAGCTGTGTAATCTTATACAGTCATTTAACCTTGCTAACTCTCAATATTAAGTAAATGAATAAGAAATAATAACATTGCATGAATATGTTGACAGAATTAAATTATATTGACAAAATACTTAATACAGTAAGTGTTCACTAACATTATTGTGGCATGTCATGCATAGAGATAATTAAAGCTTTCCTTGCATAATCATAAAGATTTGTATCTTAATTATGATAAAAATCAAAAAACTATGTAAATATATAAAACTCTTTAGTTACCTTGTATATATACCCTTGGATAATTCTAAGGCCCTAGAAGGTCTGAAATCCTTAACAAATCTGTCTACTTTATCCCATCAAGGTTATATTCTCACTCTCTTTAGTTCTCATGCATTTTAACAAAAGCTAGTATGATAAATAGTCTCCTCAGAATCTATGAAATCTTTGTAAACAGTTTCACTTTCCTGTTATATAAGAATGATTGTTCTTAAGTTTAAAAGAAATGACCAGAACACTTACGCATGGAGAGAAACAATGTTCAGAGCACAAAGTTATGTATTAAACAATTCTGTTTCATTTGTGAATGTAGAAAAATCACCCTGTTAGTTGACAACCTTTCTGTCACACTGAGAGCAAGAACTCAACATTGCTAGAAGCAGGATAGGCAAAGTATACAAAACAAAATGAATGAACTCAGTTGTGAGCTTTGCTCTTTAATTAAGGGTTGCAAGCATAAGTTGGTGTGCTTATTTGTCCAAAAACAGGAAAACCCACTATGCTTCATCATTCCATAGACGGCCATATGCATTTCATAAGGAAAATGTGTCTTTAAAGCTAACTACATTAAAAGCTAGCATTATAAAGTGTGTAAGTGGTAGTGGTTCAGTCATGCCTGACTCTTTGGAACCCCATGGACTGCAGCCCACCAGGCTCCTCTGTGGGTCAGATTCTCCAGGCCAGGCTACTGGAGTGGGTTGCCATTTCCTTCTTCAAGCATTATAAAGGATACTTACAAATCAGTGGTCGTTTACCTAAAGGAGCCAACATCTTTTGAGAATAAAAATATTTCATGTTGTGAGTTTGATGTGAAAATATTTGATAAACACGGGTAAGACTTTCTTTTTAAAACTAAAGCTTGGTATCAACGATACATTCTATATTTATAGTTAAAAGCAGCAGGAGGTATGTGGACTTTAAAGTGATATCTAAAGCACTGTATCATATGCAAATATTATAATGTCCCTCATGATAAAGAAATTAAACAAATACACACACACAGCAGCTTAAAGTCCAGTGGAGAGAGAGAACAAAGATCTAATACAAAATGCAGGGAACAAGTGTGCCTGATATCTTCTAGAGGGAATGAGTTGAGGAAGATTGAATTGAGGTTCAAAACCCAGGTTAAGGATTAGACAGGTGAAGAATAGGGAAAATAACTGCAGTTTGTTGTGTACACAAGGAGCTTAGGTTACCTGTGTGGGAATGGCAAATAATGAGGTTGTAAAAAGAAGCTCAAGAGAGATTGTACAAAGGCTTTGCACTAAGCTAACGTCTTGGAAATTTATACTGACAGCAATGTCAGTGGGGGAAAAAGAGAAATCAGAGATGCATGAATGAGTTTAATAAACACAGTGATAGGAAGATGTACATTTCAAAATAAATAATAATGGATTTTCAAAATGTCAAAATGCTATGAAGGGAGGAATGTATGTTCCCAAAAGATAGGCCAAGGAGGAAAAATTGAGGTCAGTGACAGACTTTCTCTCAGTGTTGCTTCTATATATCCAAGCAAACAAACAAACAAACACTGATTCCACATAAACAGTAGTCATCCAAGGGCAAAATCCCCGCTTTTGATATTTAGTTACTAAGTCATGTCGAATCCAATTCCTTTGAAACCCCACAGACTGTAGCCCACTGGGCTCCTCTGTCCATGGGATTTCCCAGGCAAGAATACTGGAGTGTGTTCCATTTCCTTCTCTAGGGGATCTTCCTGACCCTGGGATGGAATCTGTGTCTCTTGCACTGGCAGGCAGATTCTTTATCACTGAGCCACCTGGGAAACCTCAAAGTCCCCCCCTACCTGGGGACATTTGGCAATGTCTGAAGAAGTGTTTGATTGTCACAACTGAGGGAGGAATATTATTCCCATTTGCAGTCAGAGGTCAGGGGTGGTCCTGAACATCTTACAATTCACAAGCGAGTCCCCACAACAAAGAATTTTCTGGTCCAGAATATCAATAGTGCTGAGGTCAGAAAACCTTCACACAGAATAAACCAAACTGGTATGCTGGTAAAATTGGGGTGCTAATTATACTCATAGAAAACGCTGAAAAATATTTTGGGGCAACGCATACCAGCATGTGTGTTTCACATATATGCATATTCATATGAATGTTTCAACATAGGCATTTTATTTAGCAAAAATGATTTATATGTAATTGTCCCATTTATAGTGCTGTTTGCCTCTGTAGTTGCTCTATATTACTGAGGGCATTTAATTGAACACTGGGTATGTTACACACATATGCCCAGTTGTTGTTATGCAAAAGTGATGGGTATATGTCTCTAAATGCAGATATTGAGAAGCACAGATCCATTAGAATGTACATTTTTCTTTCTGCTTTGTTTTGGTTAGACAACTAAAATGAATCCTTCCTAAGGAAGCTGTCTTAAAATAATCAGACTGCATAGCTGGTGTTTGGGGGCATAATTTACATAATATTTGCTCTTGATTTTAATAAAAATGTGTCATTCACATGGGCCTCTAGGTGCTAACAGGGAATAAAAAACAGAAAACATTAACAAATACAAAAGCAATCCTTATTCTTCTACCTTTCCCAGGGACCAAATATTTGTACTAATTAAGGAAGTGCATACTGAAAAGATGTACCTTGCCATGTGCCCTGAAACGCAATTAACTCCAAGTCTGTAGAATTGATAATGAAAGGGAGTTTTAGCCTTACAGGCATTTGTGAAAAGCTTCCTGACTTGTCTTTTGTATTTTGATTTTCTAAACTGTTAATAAGAGATTCTTCAGATTTTTAAGAGCAGACCATGTCCCGCTTTTGTCTCTTTTAGCTCAAAACAAGGATGTGCAATTTGCAGCAATATCACCATCAACTCTCTTAAAAATAAAAATAAAACTGGGCTATTTACCAGAAGTGAAGAAACCTTTATTTAAAAAGGTTGTGCTCACTTGCTGGTATATTGCAAATGGAATTCAGGAATTTCCTCAGTAGCTGCTGACTTATGAGCACTCCTATGATGCACAAGAGCAGCTAGAGAGCTTTCTGAAAATGTGATCCTGCATCATGTGACTATTGCTTGTTATCTGTGGGCCAGGGGGTTGTAATAATATGCCCCCAATTTTTGTAACAAACCTAATGAGGCTGCAGTATTAGTCCCATTCTACAGTCAAGATGCAGACAGGGAATTTGGCCAAGTTTACATAGTGATAGAGTGGCAGATCCAGAATTTAAATTCAGTTTTGCTTCACTAAAAAACACCCTATTTTTTAAAGCCCCAAACTGCCTCTCATATATTCCAAATAATAACAGTGTAAACTGCATTATAGAAGTCAAATGCCATGTAGTTGGAAATGAATGTTTTATGTTCAGATGTCTTTCATACTCTGGAGAAAAGAGATGATGAGGAGAGTTCCATTTCTAACTCTAGCATCTCATGAAAAAAACTTCTTAATTTTAGAGTTTCTCCATATTGTAAAATTAAAGACATGTAACTTGATTTACTGAAATGTAAAGAAAATTACTAAAGTCCTCAATTAATAATTCTTATCCAGTGAAGAGCTTTAGTGTGGGTTTATATGAGTAAATCTGCCCCTTTTCTACTTTGATTTATAATCTGAATTTATCTATATATCTACTTATTGGTAATATTTGAATATTTTCTTTGTATAATAACTTTAAGACATCAGAAAAAAAAATGTTAAGTATCTTGTGTAATTGTTTTAAATGCTTACCATAACATTATTTAGGAAACAATAGCCAATTTATATGCTAAAATAAGAAATAAAATTGTGATCAGGTTTGGAGATAGTTGCCAAATTAAAAAAAAAAACTTTCTAAAATATCTTTAGAAAAAGACTAGTTGCAGAGCATTAGGAGTGTTTACGTAGTTGATTTGAGTTTAATTGTAGCCTCAGAGAACAAATGCTTCAAGTATGTTCACTGCGTCCTTATTAGAGTGCTCAATTTCTTACACATTCCTGAGATTTTCATATAGCTCATGAGGAGATGGCAGTTAGAAATACTTCATTAAAAAAAAAAAATAC